TGTGAAATTGAGGAATATGCTGTAGGAAGGGGCAGGCAAGCTTTCCCATTTGGCTCTTCCAGTATAGGTAATTCCTGAGCTAGTCCAGTTCTGAGCCTCCTAAATAGCTGTCCATTGGATTAAATTATGAATTAGTTTACAACCTGTGATTTAATTTGAGACAGCAAAACTTATTTGATCAGGTTCCAAGAAAGCACTAGCCATTCAACTCTGCATTAACTTTGCGTAATCTACAATTTTAGATTGTGTTACATTATATAATTCAGCACTAATACAAACTGGAATAAAACTGAATAACTGCAGTTATCCTTGTGGACACATCTGACTTCCACAGGGTTATCCCAGTCTCTAATGTTTTAAATAAATAAGATGTGAGTAACCCACTCTGCCATCTTGCCCAATTCCAAAATGTTAGTGGCAAGGAAAGACTGTGTTAGATCAGTTTCCCCATCTAGACTTAAGAGAAATCATCATTGGATTGTTTCCATGCTGCTTGGCATGAGATGCTGTATTTGGTTCTTTTAACAGACTGTCATCTGGTCTGCTTCCTGTCTGGTTCTGATCTGTTAGCTGAAAGCAAGGATCAAGCTCAGCAGGTGTTAAAATATGCAGTGAGGCATGGCATCAGTTTGGTAACCCCAAAATGTAACTCAGTCCCTGATGTTACTTGTTCACATCCCCAGTTGACATCACCTCCCACATGGGGTGACCGGGAGCAGGTCATGCAAAGAGGCCAGTGCCGGCATCACCAAGCATGGGAAGCCCCTACCAGAAGCCCCCCCGGGTGTGCTTGGGGCTGCTGGTTCCTGCTGCTGGCCCCTCCATGTGGGATCCTGTTTAATCGGTTAACCCGTTGAACCTAAGGTTTAACTCGGGGTGGGGAACCTGTTTGGGGTTTGTGGGCTGCTGATCCACAGAAAAATCAGGAGTCGCACACAAGTGAGAAGCAAAACAATAAAGAAAACCACCACAAACCCTCACTGATGTGGCCCCTGACTAAGGAGAGAGACACTCCCCACCAAAGCCTGAGGGGTGGGAGGGAGGGCAGGCTAGTAGATTTTCTGTGGTGGGAGGGCAGGGAGAGCTAGCCCACCATCATGGGCTCCCCAGTGCTGGGGGGGGGGGGAAGAAGCTCTGAGCCTTGGGGGCCAGATCCAGGTGGTCCCCGGGCCTTAAGTTCCCCACCCCTGGTTTAACTGATTAATTGGGATTTTACATCCCTAATTAGGACATGGGCGGACGAGTTATGTTCTTATCAATGTGGTGTGTGTATCTTACAGAAAAGAAATCTTGCTCCCTTTTAACCTTTTTTGGCTCTGAGGTTGCAGATAGTGTTAGTTTGTCCATAGACACAGAAAACAGCTGGAAGGGCCAGTGTCCACTAGTGCCTGTCCACTGCAATTTCCAGAAGTTGAGCATGTGGGTTACACCCTAATGAATGATTCCCCACCCTGTCTAAAGGAAGGCGGAAATACCCAGAAGTCCCCAACTAAGTGCTCCCTGGAAGAAAACCTTTCCTGATTTCAAATTTGGCCGTCTGTTTAACCCTGGTGCATGCAAGCAAGATTTGACCATTTGATCCCATTTTCCCAGCCATATTATTGAGCTCTAAATAACAGTCTGCTTGGTTTTCTTTACTCAGTAGGGGCAATATTGCCTAGTGCTCTGGCAAATTGCTCCCTCATTGAATTTATTCTAACTTCATGTATATATATTGTTGAGCAGTATCTATGGTGTTGTATTCATGGTGTTGCTTAGCTAAGTAGAAGCTTACACAAGACTTTGTGATCCCCTTTCAGGTACATATCCAAGAATACAATTCTGTACTGGCCTGTGAGCTCCACTGAGCTGTCAACAATGAAAGATTCAGAGTTTTGTGTTAATAAGAAAGACCCATAAAGCAATCTGAGTTTAATAAATGAGTTGGTGTTTGATCATCAAATACAGTTCATCTATACGTCTTTTAAAGCAAGGCACATGCTGCATCGCTTCGTACACAAGTTACTATCCCATTTTCAGGGTTTGATCAGCTACTTGTAAACAGGTGTTCACTGCACTTAGTTTCTGACCCATGCAGTCTGAGTGACATAAATTTTCCTCTTGAGAAGTGGTGTTATGACTGAGCGAGGCTGGGCTGGAGGCAGTGCAGTTTTTTTCATATTTGACTGGTACATCATGAAATGATGTGGTTTTTTTAAACAATAGCTTAGACAGAAGTAAAAATTACATATTTTGGCCCACTGTTGGAAGGAAAGAAGTCTTTCAAAGGCTTCCCTCTTCACTGTAGGTGGAGGGAAAATGAATCAGCAGTAATGAGTTTTGTTAACACTAGTACAGGTTGAATCTCTCTGGTCCGGCACCATTGGGACCAGACCGGTACTGAAACAGAGAATTTGCTGAACCACTGGAGGTCAATATTGTCTAGCAGCATTATCAACACTTTCACTACTTACTGGCCTCTTAAAAGACATTTGGGATAAATTAGAGCTAAATAATAGCACAGAACATTGAGAGTCAGGGCTGTAAACAAACTTTATGGGACTTGGCCACATCCATGATAAGCGGACATCTAACTAACTAAAATTCTGTCAGACCACTGATGTTGCCAGACCAGAGAGTGCTGGACTAGAGTGGTTCAACCTATCTGTGCTCCGATTTGATCAAATTAGTCCTTGATTCTCCTGTAGTGCTCTGGTAGTAAAGTCTAGAGTGAGGTAAATGGTAGGGCAGAAATTGTAGGATGACAGTTAAAGGATAATATTTATAGTTATTAATTTTTATTCCCTAGCTTACTGCTTGTGGTTAAAGCACAGGACCAAGAACTAGAATTCCTAGCTTCTATTTCTGACTCTGCCGTTGACTTGCTTGATTTTTGGTAAATTGCTTAGCTTCTTCACTTCTGTTTCTCTCCCTATAAATGTGTATGTAACCTGTTTACCTCACAGGGCTATTAAGAGGTTGGATTGATGCTTTTATGGTGCTGCGAGATTCTTATGTGGAAGATGGTATGGTATTTCTAGCATACTATTCTATATGTGATTCTCATGAAGAAATATAAGACAAGATAAAATATAAAGAAGAAATTGTTACCTTAATGGAACTATTTTTTTCATACAGGAGCTGGGTTTTCATCTCCCAATCCATTGCTTTGCAAACAATGATCCCTTATAAGGACAGAATAGCCTCAGTCTCTGCCTCCACCCTTACTCCCAAATTGAAAACACTGTAGAGATATTTAAGTTAAAGATCCTTAATCTCAATTGAACAAATTAGTCTTTATGGGGTATCATGTGAGATGGGGATTTTTGTTTTTCTGGGATCCTGAAAAGTTTTTTTGCCAGATTACATTTCATCTTGTGCATTTGTAAAGGAGACTTGATTTGCTAGGAAGGAGTGATATGTGAAACTTGCCTGCACTGACTTCAGTAGTTTTAAAGGAAACAGTTTTTAGTTTCAGCCTCCCCATCAGAATCTATTTTTGCATGTGCAAGTCCTCTACACAAATTGTCTGGAGTCCATCTGTGCATATTTCTCAAGAGAAGGTCAGGGGTTTTAATGGGGAGATTTGTTTTATGCTAGCAGTGGATTTTTTGTGGGGGATGGTGTAGGGATGTAAACGATTAGTCAAATAGTGACTCTACTATTCGCTTCCCCCCCCTTGCTGCCTCTGTCAGAGAGGATAAGGGGGAGGGGAAGCAGGAGCTGGTGCAGGGGGGATCTGGCTTAAAAGATGGTTCCCCTCAGCACCATCTCCATTGGGGGGCAGGGTAGACAGTCATAGACGGGGGACCGGGTACAAGCCAGAAATCATCTGATTCCCGGTTCGTGTCCAGTCCTAGATGCTGCACCTCTGCTTTTTAAATGTATTAAAAGGTGCTAGGCTCTTAATGCATTTAAAAGGCAGATCCGCAGTGGGATTAGCCCCTGGGGCTGGGAGCTAACCCCACTACTGCTCTGCAGTTTCCCCCCCTTCTCAACTAATCGAGTAGTCAATGGAAATTCCATCTCATATAAAGACTAATTTGTTCAAAAGATATGAAAGAATTTGTGTAGCCCTTATTTGACCTTTCTTATCCCTTCTTTACAGTAGTTTATCTTCAATTTCTTGTGCAAACAAGTATCTCTCAATGCATGGCAGTTACAGCAACAGATATGTTAACGTATGTTCTGAATGGATAAGCAATGACAAAGAGATTTATGGGTGGCAAAGAATAAGTACCCTGTATGGTTGATTGCCTGGAGATTGTTGGTGGGATAGAGAAAAGGGGAGGTGGAAGCTGTATTTTAAAAAGAGGCCATGAGGTATGACTGAAATGCCTGGAGGTGGGTAGGCTGTTGAGCTGATACAGTGGCAGCAAAGCTATCCGTTTGACAGGCAGGAGTTACGAAGATGACCCAAGTAGTAGAATGCATTTGATTGGTCATTGCTAAATTTTGCTTTCTTGAACTCCTCTTTTAGGTATTAGTCAATGTGTTTTCTACCTGTAATAGTGGTTGCTGTTTATACTTACCAGATTCTCTGTCTTGAGTATGGTGCAGCTGAATGGAATCAAATTGGCCGGTCAGCTTGGTTCATATCTTTGAATCCTCACACACTTGGTATTTTACACAGGTTTGGATTATTCTCCCAGGGACTCAGGAGTTTCAAATGGTGACTCATGAATGCAGTTTTTGCATTGATGGTGCACTTGATATTGCTTGTTCAGTGTTGCAATGGCTTTTGAGAAAACATTTTGTTTTTAATTCAGGTGTTCTTATAATACCTGGTTCTTAGGAAGCACGTTTCTTTCAAGGAGCTCAAAGTTCTTTGCACATATTAATTAATGAATCGCTACAACAATGATGGGGAAAGTGAGGCATAATGAAGGTGAAGAAGTGACGTGTCCAACGTCACACAGCAAGTCAATAAAAGAACAAAAAATACAGGACTGTTTATGCTCAACCCCCATCTTTAATCACTGAAAACCAATCCATTTTGACAGTATTGGTTTTTTGTTAACTGCTGAAGCTAAAAGTTCACAGTAGTGTCTCCATAGAAGTCTGTCTCATTGAAGTCTGCCAGTGCAAAAATATGTTATATTTGCCTGCTCAGGCAGTGGTACCCAGTAGCTAAGCAGATGAATTCTAGCATATACTTCATTGGTTACATAAGACCTTTCTTTTTTCCATAAGCTGTTAAGGATAATAGAACTATTCAAAAATAGCACGTCAGTTGGTGTGATGTGGCATGGTACGGTTTGTTAATGGTTCTTTCTTGCCTGAAGCCATCCTGGGTAGATCTCATATAAGGCCCTCACATGTGAATTATTATCCTGACGCTCATTTTTCTGTATTGTCTGGCAGAGCGGTGGTGGAGGCAGTTCATAGACTGGATCTCATACTCGGTAACAAGGCAGCTTATCAAGAAGTATTCAAGCCAGAGAACATCAGCTTGAGGAACAAGTAAGTTGGGGAGATGCCGTATTTTAATTTGTGGTAGGAAAAATCTAATGTGCCAAGTTACACGCTGCTTTGTTTCAAGCAGTTTCACATGGTACTGAATTTGTAGTGCATCTGTCAAGCAAAGGACCCACTTGCTCTTTGTGTGTTCCATTTGTACAGCACCTAACACATGGTTGTCTTGGTTCATGACATGTTACCACAAAACAGATAAGTCTTCTCCACTGCGGTTAACGATCTTTTTTATAATTACAGTACCTTAAAATACCTGTGTATGAAGGAATTTCATACATATATGGCGGAAAATCCCCAAACTTGACTAGTAGAGAGGATTTTTTATCTCATGGTTGAAAAAAAAATGTACTGAAAGCCATATAGGGATAATTAAAAGTGATTGCTTATTGGGGCTGGTGATTAGTGTAGTTTTCATACTATGTAAATGCTATTCTGACAGCACTTTTAGTTCCCCTGCTGTGGACATTTATTATGTGGCTTGCTTTAGTGTTTACTTCTCTGTAAAAGTGCCTTGCAGGTTGGATGCTGATAAATAGCTGGTAAAAATCTTAGACTAATTGTATGTGTTCATTCACTCTCTTTCGCATAATTATCTCTAATTTTAGCCTGTAAGCTTCATGAGTATCTCAGAATGCATCACTGCTTAATAAATAAAGTATATTTATGTCCCTCATCCACTCTCAAAAGACTTGGAAGGCAGGAGTGTCTGCCACATCATGCTGGGCTTGTGGGGTGGCTGGAGGGGCAGAGCTTGGGAAAGTCTTGCCTTTCTGGTCTTGATGTGGTGTGTTCATTGGGAATAGAGTTAGACTTCCCAATGAATTGGCAGGCCACAAGCAGCCTTATTACTTGTGCAGAAGAATGGCTCCCTGCTTACACAGGAGTGGTGCACTTAGCTCCCTGAAATGACTGACAACCCAGATCTATGCTTCAGTTAGACAGGTCATCAGCAGAGGGAGTGACTACCCCCCTGCTCTCCCTGGAGTCTGGGCATGCTGCTGTCTATCTGGAGTAAGCCACTCAGAGTGCATGGCCACTAGGTGGCCATGCTGCCCCTGTAATGACATCCAAGCTTTCCTTTGTCCCTGCTCCTGTGGTTGTGGTGATGTAAGTGGCTACTGCCACTAAATTGAATAGTCTGCTTTGTGCTCTCTGTCTCAGGTTGCGAGAGCTGTGTGTGAAGCTGATGTTCCTGCATCCAGTGGATTATGGGAGAAAAGCAGAGGAACTGCTGTGGAGAAAGGTTTACTATGAAGTTATCCAGCTCATTAAAACAAATAAAAAGGTAGGTGTCTGTGCCTCAGAGCCAGAACTACTTCTGCTGTGCGATGTGTTAATGGTTTCAATTCTTTGGAAATATGGCTTGAACACAATATTGGGAGACAGAAGCTCCTACATCTTAATTGTAGCTCTGTCACAGACTTGCTTTCTAAACTTGAGCAAATCAATATGGCTGTGTAGGTGCAGAGAGCTTCTCCAAATCAAGTTGTTTTCCATTTCCTTATCTCCAAAACAGGAATAATATCTCCATGGGAAGCAGGTGTCACAGTTAATTTGCAGGAGAATGTGGAGAAGTGCTGATTAGTTTTATGCTAGAGAGAATCTAGAAAGTCAAATTACTTCCATAGTGCTTTGCACGTTATCCTGGTGATCTTATCAAAGGAATGTAAAAGGAACTTTATACTGGTCTCCTCTAAATTAGGGATGTAATAAGAGAACCATTAACACAGTTAATGGTGAATGGTTACAGTGAACGGTTACAAACAGGCTCTCACCCCATTCCTGTGGAGCCAGCTGCCACCCCATGCTGCTGACTCTGTATCAAAGCCCACTGCACAGGATGGTAGCTGGCTCACTGGGAGTAGGACAGCAGCCGGCTTAAAAGCTGGCTCCTGGTGTGCACAGGCTGCCATCCTGTGAATGGGCTGAAAATCTGGTTCCTAGCATGCACTGGCTTCTGGGGTGCTGGCTGCAGGTGAGTGTAACCATGTAACCGCTGACATTTACCTAATTACCTGCTTTTTAACACCCCTAATCTAAATCAGTTCTTTTTACCTAATTACCTGCTTTTTAACATCCCTAATCTAAATCAGTTCTGCTTTAGCGAGCAGTGTTCTCCTGGGGCTTACCATCTGGGGTTCGCCAAGTTCTTTACTGATACTGTGTTAAGGAATATGGCTGTAGGACCTCCGAACTAGAGGGAAGTATTGCAAACAAATGCTCAGATATCACAGTTCAGATCACAAGGGATATGCTTGTGTGTCCTCCCCCCCCCCCCCCCCCCAAACAACGGTTTGGAAAGCAAAGCATAGAGGTGTTGTGACTTACCCAGGTTAGTCTAGTGAGCCTTTGGCATTGCTGGGCAGGGCCATACCTAGCGTGGTGTGGGGCCTGGGACATCCCCTTGCTCTGCCCCCATTGCACTCCTTTCCTCAAGCCCCCTCCTCTGAGCAGTGTGACCTGGGAGATTACCAGGGATTCTGGCACTGGCAGCAGGCCTCCTGGTAATTCCACAGACTGCCCTGTGCCCCACGGGGGCCCCCCAAAATGCAGGGCCTTGGGCAGCTGCCCTGAATTATTCTATGGACAGCATGGCTCTGGTGCTGGGAATAAAATCCAGATTTGCTGACTGTTATGTGATCATCTTTGCTGTCTAGTGAAATGTCATTGGTAGAGCCACAGAATGAAAGTCATGGTTTGTTTTGGCACCTCACTATGTACGGAGAACTATTAGTGAAAATATTGTGGAAAAAATCATTTCATATTGAGTTGTGTGCATAAATAAATATATGTTTGCTCAAGATTTAGAGAGCATGAAATGCATATGTGGTGGTCTGATAGAGCAGGCCTGGGAAAAATATAGCCTGCAGGCCAGATCCAGCCCGCCAAACCACCAGATCCCACCCGTGCATGTTGCAGGAAGCCCCAGGCAGACTCCCCGCTTGCCTATCCCCACCCGCACGCAGCTCAGAAATGTGGCTGCAGGGTGGCTTCACTTTAAAAACAGAGCCTGGAGGGGAGGGGAGAAAGCTGTTAGAGCTGCTCCCGCCCCCAGCACAATCCCATTGGCTGGCTTTTGGCCAGAAACTGGCCAATGGGAGCTACCTGTTTCAGTAACAGGCAGCCATGAAGCACAAGCAGCTTGCAGTTATTCACAAAGCACATGGCTGCAGCCTGGGCGGGGGCGGGGCAGGCAGGGACGCTGATTCTGGAACGAGCTGCTGACTGGTAAGTCTCCTGGCTAGAGCCTGCCTCTGGCACCCCAGCCCCTCTGTTTCCCAACACTCCGCCCCCCTACTCCACATACCCAAATCCTTTGCCCCCTTCTATACCCATATCCACTCCCAGATCCGGCACCTCTATGCCCTGCCCCAGATCAGTCTCCTCTTGCCCTATGTCACAACCCAAACCTTTGCATCCCCTTCTATATCCCAAATCCCTGCCCCCTAGGTCATAATCCAACTCCCTGCATCACAGGCCAGTGTCCCAGGTGACAGCTGCCTTCTGCACCCAACCTCCATCCCTGACCCCGTCCCTCCTCCATTAATATCATGGAAGATTGCGGCCCTTGACCACTTTCAAAATTCTTGGAATGGGCCCCCCATCAAAAATTATTGCCCACTCCTGTGCTGGAGGCATAAGTCCTTCAGCACTTCCATTCTGCTGACCCACAATAGTAAGTTAGGTGAACCAAGGAGAGAAGAACAATTGAAGCTGCTGATATTAGGTGTGATGCCAATGAGATTGTCTGCACTGCCAGAAAAATGTGTGTGTTCATAAATCAGGGGTTAAAATAGCAGTGAAGATGCAGCCTCTCTGCTTTAGCAGCTTGAGGCCAACTCCATGAGCCGTAACTCAGGCTGCTAACCTGAATTACAAGATGATTTGCTGTCTTCGCTGCTATATTAATCCAAGATGAGAGCACACCTTTTTTTCAGTATAGACCTGTTCTTAGAGGTAGACTCAATTTATCCTGTTGAGTGTGGCTGGTCAGGGAAATTTTGATTTAGTACAGCTGGAAAAAAAGGTTATTTTGCATAACCAGAAACCCATCTTTGGTCGTTGTTAAATATACATGAGGGTGTTGCTTGCTAAAGGCATGGTGATAATGTAATCAGTGCAATGAGGTTAGAGATGTGAAACATCAATTAGATCTGGTCTGTTCCCTCAGCCTCTGTACAGTGCCTAAATAATGTCACCTTTCTTGATACTTACACTTGTCAAATACTTGATATTAACAGTACAGGTTAGATTGTTGAGCAGGAGAGTGAATTGAACTTTAAAGAGGATGTCAAAAGATGAGTCACCCACTACTTCTTACCAAGTGCAACTTAGGTTGCCATTCAGAGTTTTACCTGTACTGCATTAACAGCCGTTCAACTGGCTATCTATTTTTGTTTTCGGCAGCACATTCACAGCCGCAGCACCCTGGAGTGTGCATACCGGACTCACCTAATTGCTGGCATAGGATTTTACCAACACCTTCTTCTCTACATTCAGTCTCACTATCAACTGGAGCTGCAGTGCTGTATTGACTGGACTCATGTAACAGACCCACTCATAGGTCAGTACCTGATGTGTATTGGCTCTTGGTTGATGCAAGAGACATAAGCAGCTGGTTCCCCTTTGCAATTGTTTCTGTTTCAAAATACAGAACAATTATTCTTTTCTGATTAGTTTATCTGTCCAAAACAGAGTGTCTGCTCAGCTTTTGTTTTCAAGTTAAAAACTTTTGGTAATGAAACAAGGAGTGGAAAATATTCTTTCTTACTGTCAAACTGCTCTGCGAAAATCCTCTAGCAAGTGTTAATATTCAGTATGTCAGATCTTACAGCACGATTTTGAAAAAAGCACTTACCTCTGGCTATTAAGAATGAGTGAAATTGTGGAAAGTAATCTATAGAAAATAAAAGGCTTTCTCAAAGAGGTATAATTTTCACTGGAGGTATAATTTTTGCCTCTTTTTTTTCCTTCTGTATGTGTTGCATTTGTGTGCTTTGTTTCACATGTATGTATTAAGATCCTTGATTCTCCAGCTGAATCTGGCAAACCTCTGCACTCCACTGACTTCAAAGGCCTATCCATGTAGTTACAATTGCAGACATGGAGCTAAAATTTAGGTTGATTTTTCAATTATTATATGAGAATGGGGAATAATGAGATATTAAGAAAAGGACTTGTTAAGGGGCAAGAAAAGAGAGTTTGGAATTAGAAATATCTGCCTATATCTAGCAATGAAATGTTTTACTTGTTTGTGTCCAATTCTTAGCTGGTGAAAGATGATTGTATGGCAGTTGGCTTTGAAACATCAGTTTAAAAGGCAGATGTCCTTAGCAACTGTTGCTATGAGAAACTTTGTCATGGTACTGCAGAACTAATGCATCTTCTTTTAAATTCTAGCTGGATGTGTAGTCTTTGATAAATGATTGCATTTGCATGGGTCCTGTCTAAGTTTCTCAGGGTGCTGCAGATGCTTATAATTAAAATACAATAGCATGTGGACATTGCAAACATGGCAGCATCATAAAAATGGTGGCGCGGGAAGTGTGGTGCAGAAGGGCAGACAACTGAAAATGGGGGAAGTGGGAGGAGGCTGAATGGCACAAATGAGAATTACAAACTTAGATGGCAAAAACATTTTGTAGGTTCACCATCAGTTTATAGGCACAACTTTAGTCAGTGCACATTGGTAAACTATCAATTATGTGATGCCCATAACTAATCAGAAAACATTCCTCACTGGTCACTGGCTGGTGAGAAGGTACTAATATATTGTTTTAAAAAAAAATCTGAACTGATGAGACATGTTCCCGGTGTTCCTGGTAAGTGCTGTGCTTGGGTGGCTGCCTAGGAGAGACTCAGATGCTGCCTCAGATCAAATAGTGGAAGAAAATAGTCACAACCATATATACCAAAGGATACAATTAAAAAAAAGTGAACACATATGAAAAGGACAAATCACATTTCAGAACAGGAGGGGGATGCAGGGGGGGGGGAAAGGAAGGAAGGTAAGTGTCTGTGAATTGATGATATTAGAGGTGGGGAGAGTGGGATGTTTGTGAGTTAATGGTATTAGCTTCCCCAATTATCACCTCTAATTGGTAAGATAATGGGTAAGATAGTTCAAGTGTTTGTTCATTCCTTTTTGGAGAGTGTCGAATTTTAACATGAATGACAGTTCAGAGGATTCCCTTTCAAGTGCAGATGTAAAAGGTCTTTGTAGCAGAATGCAGATGGTTAAGTCATTGAGAGAGTGTCCTTTCTGGTTAAAATGGCAAGAAACTGTTTTTTCTTTGTGATCTTGTCTGATATCTGTTTTGTGGGCATTAATCCTTTGGCGAAGTGTCTGAGATGTTTGTCCAATGTACATAGCAGACGGACACTTTCGGCACATGATGGCATAGATTATATTTCTGGATGCGCAGGAATATGTGTTCTTGATCTTATAACTCACGTGGTTAGGTCCAATAATGGTATCAGCAGAATGAATATGTGGACAAAGCTGGCAACGGGGTTTGTTGCAAGGGAAGGTACCAGGGTTGGTATTAGCGTGGTATGTCCTGTGGTGGTTGGTAAGAATGATCTTGAGGTTAGGTGGTTGTCTATAGGAGACTATGGGTCTGTCTCCCAGAGCCTCTTGGAGTATGGTATCCTGTTCCAGTATAGGCTGTAGTTTATTGATAATGTATTGGACAGGTTACCCTAACCTCAAGATGATTCTTACCAACAACCACCGGACATACCACACTAATATTTTGTTCTTTATCCCTTTCACCCATTTTATTTCTCTCTCCTCTCCCCTCCCTCCCGTTGTCTATCATCTCATCATCTATCCCCGTCTATCACCTCATCTTCTCTCCCTGTTCTTTAACAGTCTCTCCACACTTATCCAGTTTCTAGTGGCTTGGTGGTAAAAGTTTTGGACCTCACATCAGTATAGATGAGTGAGATAGCACTATTAAGGATCCCCGTGAAACATACATGACCTTATGGGTAGTGAGGTAGCCTTAAAACAAAATAATGTTGTCTGCATGAGTCTTGCACAATCTGGTAGCCTGGAACAAACCTGCACTGATCTGTAATGTACCACAGACAAAGGCCAGCATTCCAGTCTCAGTGTGTGCTCTCTTATTTGCATGCGCTTAACTGTCACATGTCTCATGAAGAAGCGTAGGTTCCCGCTGTCTCTTTCCAACAGCCTTCACCCACGGGTGTGTTATGATTTGATATTTCTCATGTAGGATGCAAGAAACCTGTGTCTGCATCGGGGAAAGAAATGGAGTGGGCACAGATGGCGTGTCACAGATGTCTGGTTTATCTGGGAGATTTAGGTAAGAGCAGTGTTTTCTTGCAGGGCGACCTTTAAAGTATAAAGACTGTTGCATGCATAGCACTGATACTATGATTGTTCGTCACCAGTGATAACTTCTTGCAGACACTGGTTTGTCTCAGGCCTGTTGTACACTTAGAATTTAGTGTTGCTCTGGGGCAGGGGGAGAATCTATGATTTTGAAACCTATATCTGTGCTGACCTAATCCCAGTGGATGGAAGAATTCTTCCATCAGCCTATCTACCTTCGCTCAGGGAGATGGTATTTCTATAGCGATGGAACAGCCCATTCCACCATTATAGGCTGCTCCTGCAGTAGGGGGTTGTCTGGTATAGCTATGGCACCATGAACATTAGAGGGATGTAAAAATGCATTTAAAAATATAACAGCTAAAAAGTCTAGCAGTTACATGGCTGCGGGCTCTGCAGTATAAAGCCTAAATACTGCCGAGCCTGCAGCGAAGCCACCTCCCTGAGAGCACAAGAGCTGCTGCCAACCTCGTTCCCAGGAAGCCTTCGCTTCAGGCTCTGCACCCAGGGAGCCACCATGTATCTGGGGAAGATGGGGAGTGGATCCATCCCTTAATGGTTAACCTTTTACATCCCTAGTAGACAAGCCTTACACACATTTATCACTGACAGTGAAACCCGCTCAGATAACAAATCTGTTACAGAATGGAGAGGTGCTGTTCTAGTGATGTTCTGGGTCTGAATTCTTTGCTGAATAAGAACATGGTCTGGCTTTCATTTGCAATGCTCTGGCACTGTAACGAAGTCTTCATAGTGGGCATAACTTACCATGTGCACTTTAAGTCCCTTTCAGAGTCCCAGGTAGTTCAAAGAGGCCTGAGTGTACATGAGAATTTGGCCCAGCATGTAGAATTCTGAATTGATTCCAGGGCAGGGTAATAATGACAAAGTGGTGGCTTTTCAGTAGCTAGTACGAAACATGATCACATATTGGTCCATTCTGTAATGGGCTTGTGTCTATACCTCACAGTCATAACCACAAGCAGTGAGGATGTGACATGATTTAACTTGTTGCTTGAATAACAAAGCGTGCATGTGAAAGAATGAATATGCATGTGAACGTGCATGAATAACTTAGACACGGTGAATGAGGTAATTGGACCGACTTCTGTTGTCAAGATTGACAAGCTTTTGAGCAACGCAGAGCTTCTTTTCATGTCTGGGAAAGGTACTCCAGGCATCACAACATTGTTCCCTTTTTGCACTGGGCAACACCAGGCCTCAGCCTGTGCTTTCTATTGCACATGATGTGTGTTTCTTTTTAGCTCGCTATCAGAATGAGCTGGCAGGTGTGGACACGGAACTGTTGGCTGAGAGGTTTTACTATCAAGCCCTTTCTGTTGCGCCACAAATTGGTAAGTGAATTGCCATGAATTTTGGAGCCTTTCAGAGCAATAACATCGCTTGCAAAGCCTTAAACCTCTTGTGAAAATGACTGGAAGAAAACACTGTTAGAGTAATTGCGATGTTTTGGTGACCCTTATGGTATTTGCTTTTGAGAGATTTGTTTTGTTACCCAGTTACAATAATTCCTCCTTTGTGAGACTCTCTCTTGCTGGCAAACCAAGGAGAGAAGAGCTCCTCTGCTTTAACTCCCAGGATGATGTTGATTTATTGAGTAACTTCCATTCTCTAGCCACATCATGTATAAAAGTTCTAATTTATACAGAAGTGATGGTGTCATACCCAACTGAACTAAGATCCAGCAGCGTGTTGCTGCTTTTGCAGTGCACTATTGCTAATACCACAGATATAGCCCCCCAACCTCCTTTTTGGATTTACATTTGTACAGAGTTACTGCTTGTAATGTGGTGGGAGACTGAGAGTTGGACTCCTGGGTTTTATTCCAGGTGCACCACTATGGTCTTATGGGCAAGTCTCTTAACACTTTATGCCTCGGTTTTCAGGCCTGTAAAATGGGGAAGTTTTGCAACTTTACAAGGTTAATACACAGGGCTTGACAAATCCGTTTATCTACTCGCCTGTGGCGAGTAGATTTCAGCCGGTCACCCCATTCACCAGTGGTGCGCGCATGTGCAGTGTCGGTCTGGCACATGTGCGGTGCGGGGCTGGTGAGTGGATTTCACCTCAGTTTGTCGAGCCCTGTTAATACATATAAAGCATTCTTGAGTTTCTCTAACAATAGGTACACTAGAAGTACAGGAACTTATTGAATAGATTTCTTCTCTAATGTCTTTTTAAATAGTTGCAATTAAAATGTATGTAATACTCCTGTCATGCTCTCTAAGCATATGCACAAAGTAGAAATTCATTAATACAGAAAATATTGATACAAGGTTGATAAGTGATTCGAACCCTCCTGAACATACCAACTGCTGGAGCTACCCTGAAGAGAGTGGTCTTGCAGAATATCCTGAAAGGTGTAGCAGGTCTGACAGTCTGAGTTTGAAAATAAAAGTTGAGGGCCTCTAAGGGCATATCTTCACTGCCTGACAGATCGATGGGCAGTGATCAATGGAGGTTGATTTAGATAGATATGATACTAGATGCAATAAATTGATCACCAGGCGCTCTCCCGTCAACTCCAGTACTGTACCAGAATGACAAGAGTAAGGGGAGTCAGTGGGAGAGTGTCAGCTGTTGACATACCTCAGTGTAGATCTAGATATATTGACTTAGCTACATAATTCATAAAGCTGAAGTTGCGTCCTAGGATTGACAGCCAGTGGCAGTGGAGAGTTGACCTGAGTACGCCTTTCAAGCACTGCACAGATATGGAAATGCAGGGAGTCTTAATTAAAAGCCTCAGCTGATCTCAGTTGTGGGCTTCATATTAGGGATGTGAACAAGTAGTCAACTGGTTTTTTAACTGATAAGCCTAGGCTTATCGGTTAATCTAGTTGACTAGTTTACGGTTCACATTTTCCCCGCCCTCCCTTTCTGCCTCTGTATCAGAGGCAGCAAGGGGGAAGGGGAAAGCAGAAGCTGGCTTAAAAGCTGGCTTCCCCCAGCACTGGCTCCACAGTGCTGCCTGCCTCCTCCCCACCCCCTTCCCCACGCCGCTGCCTCTATCAGAGGCAGCAGCATGGCAGGGAGGGCAAGGGAGGCTGCTCTGAAACAGCCTCTGATTGTGGCAGTGCTGGTGCTGGCTGAAGACAGGGGCTGCTCTGCAGCAGGAGCCTCTGTCCCCAAGGGTCTGGGGGAGAGGTCCCAGCAGCCTCTGTCCGCGGATAGCTCGGACCCCCTGCACACATGGATTGCTAGCACCCTGCACTGCTGCCTCTGTATTAGAGGCAGCAGTGTGGGGCAGCAAGCAGCCAGTCTGCAAGGGGGGCTGGTTTTTAAACTGGCTCCCCTCGCAGACTGGCTCGTGCCTGGCACCCTGCACTACTGCGTCTGTTAGAGAGGCAGCAGTGCAGGGTGTCACAGGGCTCCCCAGGAGTGGGGCTAGAATGCACTGGCTGCTAGTCCCACCCCTGGGGATAATAGAATAGTTGACTAACAGCTTAGAATTCATGCAGGCAAGTCAATTATTCAATTAACCGATACCTACATCTGAAGTAGAGATGTTCTGTATGGACCTGAGCTACAGAGATGCTGAGGTGTAACCCCTTGAATTGCACTCAGAAACAGTAACAGATCATGGAGCACATTGTATAATGAGCCTCAGAGGTATTGTTAAGTGGATGGCTGTGTTTGGTAGATGCTAAAGCTTTTCAGTGGTCCTTAGAGGCAATTTCACAAAGGATACAGCTACAAAAGCACAGTGCAAGGCTTTTTCCTCTTTGAGCTGTTGCTAGGGCTGACCCCCCCGCCCCCGCAAAGTATGAATAACTGGCATTTATTGATCAAAATTTATATACTGCACTAAGTTTACATGAAGCTGTTACAATACGTTCTAGCAATCCAAATCAAACAGATAGCACAGTAGTTTAGGAGAGAAGGGGACATGAGAATTATGGATGAGGAGGAGGGCTTGCTTGAAGGAAAAAGGGGAGCCAAGTAGAGAAGGGACAGGAAGATGTTAAGGTAGCAGGAAGCAGAGTGGTAAAAGGTGAAGGAAGCAAGTAGCCAAAGCCACCGCTTCATGACTGTGTTAATGTCCTTTGTGCCTGCTGCCTCTGCACCTTCTACCATGAACAGAAATGTAGTGAGGTGTAAAGGATCTTCTTACATGGGGGTTGTTTGAAATAACACAGACTAGTTCACTCTCCTTTTAATTTTCATGACAGGGATGCCCTTTAACCAGCTGGGGACACTGGCAGGGAGTAAATATTACAACGTGGAAGCTACCTACTGCTACTTACGCTGGTGAGTAACTGCTACAAAACACACTGAGGATGGAGGGAGCTGATTCATCCCCTTTGCCCTTCCAGTCATTGAGCCAAATTATTTTCTCCTTGTTCCGTCATGTGTTACTCCTTTTTCTGGCACTTCCGTTAGTAGTGGGAATGCTGGTGGAGAGAGGTTGTGAAGGCTGCCTCCCTGACAAGATATACTGGATCACAGGGCCATAGATCAAATAAAAGCATGAAGGACCAGATATTAAATGATATTTAGGCACTTAAAGATGAAGACAGGATCCTAGTATGATTTTTCAGAAGCACACAGATACTTGCAAAGGGCTGGGCAAGTCCTTGCAGCCTGGTGCAGCTCTGTGTGCCTCACTTCAATTTCCCCAGGCCAAGGAGACACAACACACACTAATCAAATATCACTTCCCTTTTTAGTAAGGCTTCAGGGCCTGAGTAATTACAATAAACAATTCCTAAGGTTTTCACCTCAGGGCTGTGCTTCAGCTCTTGAATTTAAAGTCCACAGAACAAAGCTGCTAGCGAGGCCAGTTTCCTGGAGTCTGAGAGAAAACCACCTACTCACTGCAGTGTGCATGGCCTCTGTTTCTTCTCTCTTACTCAGCTTCCTGTTTAAATAGCTCTGTCCTAGTGTGGGACAGGTCTTGAATACATCCAGGCTGTGTCTAACCCTAACCGTGTCCCGTTAAGGGGGAGTACACTACTTCACTGTGCCTACTGAAATCCTTGAAAATCTCACTCGGGACCTATCTACGTGTTGTACACTACTTCACTGTGCCTACTGAAATCCTTTAAAATCTCACTCTGGACCTATCTACATGTTTATGTGCCAAATTATCTTTAAAAATCGAGCACCAAGTTTTGTGGCACAGCCCAGTCAAAGCCACAGAAAGTAAGTGGTGATGCTCCCAGCAGAAAAGTAACCTATTGTTTGTAAAATGTTGGCATCTTAGTATCCAGTCTGAAGTATCCTTTGAAGGTGCCTATGGTAACCTGAAGCGGCTATATGACAAGGCAGCCAAAATGTATCATCAGCTGAAGAAGTGTGAAACCAGGAAGCTGTCTCCAAGCAAAAAACGGTAAGAACTGGTAGAGAGGAGGGAAGTATTGGAAAGTACTCTATATGCAGCTTATGGATTTCAGTCTCCAGGATTGTTCTTCTGACACAAGCACTGAATTTCACTTTATGAAATAAAAAGCAGTATGGGACCTCTGACATGAAGTAGTGGAGAGCCTGTAACATGGTGTGTCTCATCACCCAGATGCCTCCTTCTGGTCACTCTGGGAATTAGCTTCTTGGTGCTAGAGTGCCCCCTTCTGGCTGGTGTCACTTCTGTGTTAGGACTCACATTCCTCCCAGATTGTGGGATCCTCCCTCTGGGTACTGCTCTGCCATAGTGCCCCTGCGCTCTGGGGTCCTCCCCCTCTGGGACCCCCCAACTCCTTATGCCCATCTTGCCTCAGTGACCCACTGCCAGTCTTCATCTAGCCCTGTACCTCAGGGGCAAACTGCAGTCTGAAATGGCCACTCATCATTGGCAAGGGGGTGTGGAACTCTCCTTGGAAGCTATGGGGCCAACAGCTGTGGCAATTATTAGCCAATTAGGGCCCAGCTGAGGGCACTATAAATAAAGGATCCTGGATGGGTGGAGACAGCCACACACTTGCTCTGACTGTGGAGCAGAAGGGACCTGGCTGCTGGGGAAGTGGGAGGCTTCTGAGACAAGGAAGTACTCTCAGGCCTGCAGACTGGGAGTGAGGCCAGGCCAAAGCTCCCCAGCTCTGTCTGCCTCTTCCCAGCACTACCCTGTCTCAGAAGCCTCCCACTTCCCCAGCAACCAGGTCCCTTCTGCTCCACAGTCAGAGCAAGAGTGTGGCTGTCTCCACCCATCCAGGAGCCTTTATTTATAGTGCCCTCAGCTGGGCCCTAATTGGCTAATAACTGCCACAGCTGTTGGCCCCACAGCTCGGCTGCCCCAGCCCTTTCCCAGGGCTGGGTTTTAACCCTTAAAGGGCCAGTGTGGAGCAGATTCCTTGTCGCAGAGCCCTTGGAATCTAATTCAGCAACCTACCATAATCCACTGTTGTTCATTAATGCCTTGTGTCAGCAATGCAGCAGTTTACTTTGTTTTAAATATGTCTTTGCTAGTTGTGTTTACTGCTGAATTGGCAGAAGTCCACATAGTCATCACTCATCTAGTAGACCTGTGGTGTCCAACACACTAGCTACTAGTCACATAGTGGCTAAAGCTTCAGAACAGGTTGGATGCCACAGTAATAGACCAATATTCTTGGTGCATTTAATTAGGGATGTTAGTTAGCGATTAATTGAATAGTCATGCAACTGCATCAAAATTTATCAGAGGCAGCAGTGCGGGATGGCACACGGGAACCAGTCTGTGAGGGGAGCCAATTTAAAAGCCAGCTCTCTGCACAGACTGGCTCCTGCCTCCTGTTCCTCGGTGCTGTCTGTGATACAGAGGCAGCAGCATGGGGTTACAGAAGCCCCTCTCTGCAGGGGATTCAAGCTCCCTGTGGACAGCCTTTTTTGCTGCAGCCTCCCCTAAGTCCCTCTTCCCTCTGCATTGCTGCCTCTGATAGAGGCAGCAGCAGCACGGGGAGGGGACAGGTAGCTCCCCCATGAGCACTAGGTCCTGCCTTACCCCTCTCCCCCCACTACCTCCTTGGGAGGTAGCAGGGAGTGAGGGGTAGGGCGGAGCCAGCTTAAAAGCCAGCTCCCCATGTGTATTGGTCCTGCCTACCACCCTGCCCTCACTGCTGTCTCTGATAGAGGCAGCAGCGTAGGTGAGGGGGAGCAGCTTGTGTGAGCCAATACGTGAGTGAGGAGCTGGCTTGAAAGCCGGCTTCCCACATGTACTGGCTCTTGCCTGTTCCCCTCACCCTCTGTGCTGCTGTTTCATTGGCTCTCACCTTCCCCCCACCTTCACTGCCTCTGATACAGAGTCAGCAAGGGTGTGTGTGCTTGTAATTGATAAGATTAACCGATAAGCCCTGGCTTGTCAAATACACACTTAACTGATTACTTGTTGATATCCCTACATTTAATGGGACGTTAGTAGTGTGAGTAACACTTTCTTGTTTCCATTTATCTGGCTTTGGTTTTTAATGCATTCAAATTTTCTGTGAAAGGTCTGGTTCTATTCTTAATGCTCTCCTCAGATATTATCTATACTTGTTTCTTTCTTCATGTCCATCACCTGCTTGCAGATGTGCTAGTGCCCGAGTCCAATAAATATCAGATAGTAGAGGTGGTATTTGTTCCACTATACATCTCCAAAACCTGACAGATAATTGGTTATGTGAAGTGGTTCCTGACCCCTTTTTTATTGAGAGAACAGATTTTGTAAACGTGCGGATAACAATTACAGGCAGTCCCCGAGTTACACGGATCCGACTTATGTCGGATCCGCAGTTACGAACGGGGCCCGTCTCCCTGGTCTCCAGCAGACCAGAGAGAGGAAGCAAAGCGGCGGAGCACGCGGACAGCCCAGACACGTCTGGGCTGTCCTTCCTGACCCCTTTTTTATTGAGAGAACAGATTTTGTAAACGTGCGGATAACAATTACAGGCAGTCCCCGAGTTACACGGATCCGACTTATGTCGGATCCGCAGTTACGAACGGGGCCCGTCTCCCTGGTCTCCAGCAGACCAGAGAGAGGAAGCAAAGCGGCGGAGCACGCGGACAGCCCAGACACGTCTGGGCTGTCCGCTGCCC